TCACACATCCTAATAGCCACAGGGCAGACAACTGCATCAAATACTGGGTCAAATCACCCCACCGACTCCACTACAAAAACACGGCAGAGCTGAGAGTAGCTCCAAATTGCCTCTGTAAATACCCGATGGTATTTATCTCATGAAACCGTCGTGAGAAGTGCTGGGTTTGCACTTTGTGGCAGACAGGGCTGTATAACAGACAAAGCAATATGAGGTAGAGGGTGTTTGAGGTCACGTCCATATGCCCTGAAAGAAGTCATTCTAATCTGCCAGCCAAGGGTAGAACTTTGAAGTGTCAGGGGATTGTGGGTAGCCCGTCCAACGTCTGGAGGCAGCTTGATACGTTTGAAGGATCTGAGAGTGCATTTGCGTGCGTGTGCGTGGAGAATATTGAAGAAGCAAACCTGCGTCCGCTCAAAGCTGCGATGCAGCTGCGTGCGTCGGCAGTAAAAACTCCCTCCGAACTCCAGCCTGCTCCACCTGCGGTCCCCTCGGCTCCAGACTCCCGACCACTGAGACACTTCATCTAATGTGACAGCTGCACATTCCTCACTTTCTGTGACTCTCAACCAATCTGTCACCATATGGCCCTATTCCTCTCTTGCTAGTACTCTAGCATTCAAAGCAGAACTTTTCGTATCCCGTGCACGCCGTTGCAGCCCTGCTTTGCATGCGTGCCATTGCATGACCTATTTTTCAGGCGGCGCTTGATTCATCTGAAAGTGAGTGTCAGTTTTTTTATGGGAGAGAGCGACGGAGAGATGGAGCGAGAGGAATCTGTGCGGAGATGGATGGTGACTGGCGCTGATGGACGTGGAGTGTGTGTGTGAATGTATGTTTATGCGTGTGTGTGTCCTGGCTCTTCATGGATTCTGCGGTGTGAACGCATGTGCCGACATGGTATTGGACACGCGACGTGGTGCTCGGTGGGGTACTAAAGGAACTGGGTTGTGGTGTGTATCGGAGCACCTGGTGAATAAAAGATCTGAACGATAGGGGGATGGGAACCGAAGGAAAAGTGAGAGAGAGAGAGAACAAGAAATAGACACAAAAAGAGTGTGTGTCTCATAAATAGTGTATATGGCAATAGAGGAGAGTATTGTTGAGTCTAGGGGAGCAACCCTCCAGTCCTGCAAGAAGAGATACACTATACTACACAATAAACAAACAAAAAAAATACAACCCACAGAGACCCAGCACACACAATCCACTGTGTGTGTAAGTGTGACAGGCTGTGAGGGTCTCTGGGTG